GGGGGGCGCTAAGCGTTTCGCTGCTCTCTGTTACGACCGTTCGGAGGGAAACCCCAAGGAGCATGTGCGCGTAGGGCCGGGACCTCGACCTTGTTGGCGGCATGCATTTCACAAAAAGTGCGTGATCTCAGAACAGGAAATAAAGGACTTTTTCACCTCGAACTCGGAGGGGGACACGGCGGCGGCGGCAGGAAATAAGATCGGCTGATGCGGGAGGGGACAGGTTCAGTATGATCTCACCGCGTATAGGTGACCGGGTAAGAACAGGCCATCGCCCCGAGCTTGCCCGGATACTGGCCGAGAGGGGACAGGTCAATTCCGATCTCGTCGGGGAGGTGACCGCCGAGAGGGGACAGGTCCTACAGAACTCACTAGAACAACGACCGGGAAGGGACATGCGCGGACCGGACCACGATGTCGGGGACGTACCAGGAAGGGGACAGGCCATCTCGAGCTTGCAGGACCCTGACCGAGAAGGGACACCATGTTCGGACCTCGCCGAGCAGGTGACCGGGAGGGGACACTCTGCTCCCACCTCGCCGATGAGGCGACCGAGACTTCGCCAGTAGGTGACCGGGAGTGGACAAGGGGTGGCGGCGGGGGGGATTGGGCCCCTATAATTTTGAGCGGCGATTCGAATAAGCACATCCTAGGTTTTCTCGTGACGTCTCGTAACGGGACAAGACTAGAATCTTGTCGACTTCACCATCGTCTTTCTTTTAAAAAAACCTTTCAAACGAGTATAAGGTTGATAGGTCTCAGATACGTCGTTTGGTAGTTACGTTCCTAGGGCACTGGCACGACTATAATAGCCCGGGCATGTTCCTATTCGAACTTTGAACGTCCTGAGGGTTCGGTCCATTATCATTGAGTGCCTGCCGATATTTTGGCGAAGTACGTATTTCGTATCCATCGCATAGACTTCATGAATAAAGTCCACTGGACAGCAATATGGCACTTTTTGTGAAATGCAGCACTGGTGCGAGAGTAACGCGCGGCGCGCCGGGTGCGTTCCTCGGGTGGCCCTTTAATTCCGCGACGCGTTGGCAGCAGCAGCAGCGGCGGTGGCGGTGGCGGCTGGCGGCCCGGCGCCGCGCAGGGCGTGCCGCGGCGTGCCGAGCAGGCCCTGCTGGGCTGCATGCTGCGCGCCGCGGTACGGTACGGCGGCGGCCGGGTTCGAGGCGGCGGCGGCCCGGCCGTCGTCGCCACCCCACCCAGTTTTTCCTCTCGTCCTGCGAGCGTCCTGCGCGCCGCCTCCCCCTCCCCTCTCCCAGACCCTCCCCTTCTACACCACCCTCCACTCCACTCCCCTCACCCTCCCCTCCGTCGCGTGCGCGGCGCCGCGGGGAGGAGGAGGGGAGGGGGGAGCGCCGAGGGGCGGCGGCGACGCGGTACGGCACCGCGGCTGGCGGGCGCGACGGGCGCGGCGGAGAGGGGCGGCTGGCCCAGCCCGAGCAGCCACTACAAAACTACGCGGCGGCGACTGGGCGGCGCAGACCCGAGTGGAGCGGCGCGCGGCGGTGCACGGCGGCGGTTCGATCCGATCCAGGAGGGCGGAAGGGAGTCATGGCAGAGCCGGAGCAGAGGGCGCCGGGCCCCGCCCCCGAGGAGCAGGACGACGTCAAGGGGGGCGGTCGGGAGGTCGCCGCCATGAAGAGCGCGGACGACGGCACCGAGAAGATGAAGGCGACCGCGTGCTCGGCGGTGGAGCAGCCCCGTGACAGCGCCAGCGAACCCCAGCAGCAGCAGCAGCAGCAGCAAGCCGTCTGCTCTATCGATCGCTCGTGCGTCCAGAGAAAAGGCGTGAAAAACGTGCAGAGCGTTATCCCTAGGAACAGGTAAGGACTGATAAGGCGGCGGCTCGCCGGCCTGGCGCTGTCCGCCGGCCCCGCCCAGGGCGTCCGCGAATCCGTGATCGCGAAATGTCAGACCGTGTGTCAACAGCCGGCGCGGCGCGAGAGAGGTTAGGGAGGGGGCGGGGGTGCTGCTTCGGGGAGGTTCTGCTCCCTTACCGCCCCGCGCCGGCTCGCCCCGCCCCGGCCTCCGCGACCGGCAGTAGTGCAGGACTCTAGTGCAATACGGCCTCAGCCGACCGCAGAGTCATTTGTGAACCCCGCGTATGTTACTCGCGGAGACTGTTCTCATCAGACTTCCCCCGGTACCCCTGGTGGGTAGGCTATCTGTCAGACTGACGGCCATGCGTCGCGGGAGGGATCTTCAAAAACCATATTGTTATAGGTTTTCCTGATAGAAGTCACGACCGTTTCCTGTCTTACCTTCAGGTTGGAACTGCTCAAGTGGAATGGCTGGGGCTACAAGGACTCCATGTTCGATGTAAAGGGGGACATTCTATACTTCACCGGGAAACGGTAAGTTGGTGGATCTGCCTTCGACATTCTGTAAATAAGGAAATGAATGCATTGTAATTACAGTTTCGTTCTAGATACCCGATTGGCAACCAGACGCTCCCCTACTTCACCGACTGGGCTATCAATAAACTGGGCATCGACGTCAATCGCCGCAACCGCGCGCAGCCTCTGCCGAAACCGTCGGACTTCCCTAAGGCCAAAGTAGAAACAGGTAAACGCCCTCCTCCCAAGGATAACAACATGGCCAATTAATTCATTTTGGAATCATTGACCCCGACATGACGTCCGAAATGGCGTCCCTAGTGCCAAAATAGTGACTATTTGATTTTGATGTGCTTGTGTGACTTCCCTGTCCTCCTTGGGCTCGACCCCACCCCACCTGAACCATCTTACGTGTTAAGGACTAGTGCGCGGGAGGTGGGGCAGTGAGGCACCCACTGACCCCTCCTTTTCTTCGCACCTCGTAGTCCCCGATGGCGTAATCTTTCAAAAACATGTCATTGTTTGGCCGAGTGGGGTTCGCGAGAGCTTTGCTTGTGTATCGTACCTATTAGCGGGTGTTTCTCACTGGCTCTATTTGCTCGGGGCCGGGGCCGACCGGCCGCCCGCACGTGCAGACCGGAGTGTTGCGCACAAGTTCATGTAGTGCGGGTCACTGTTGGGCAGGCGGCACTGCACTGTGCAGCCCACACCTCGGCTCGTGCACGTGCGGCTCGTTAAGTGGGTGCTAAGTGCGCCGTGCACTGTGCAGCGTGCAGGTGTGGGTGCGTGCGGCGTGCCAGTCTGGCCAGGTGTTTGCCTGGCTGACTCAGAAAATCTGCACAAGCTCCCAGTGAAGTTGTATAGACTTTTATTATGTTTACTTTTGTTTTCAGCATTTCTCTCAGAACTGAAGGCACTTCGTATTTCACATTCCATTGCTGGTTTGGATCGACTGGTTCGGGCTCATGGGCAAACCCTACATGATGCATTTATTTTAAGGGAGGGGGCCTTTGAACGTATTCCAGATGTAGTTGTTTGGCCAGGTAAGAAGAAAACAAACATTACCCCTTTGAAAAATCTAATAAGAACCATGTATTCACATTTTCCATTTTACCAATTTATAGAATGTCATGAAGATGTGGTGCGAATTGTGGAAGTGGCACAAAAATACAATGTTGTCGTCATACCATTTGGAGGAGGAACAAGTGTGTCTGGAGCTGTATCTTGCCCTATCAAAGAACAAAGAACTATACTATCCCTAGACACGTCTCAAATGGTGTGTTATGAATTCTAATTCTGAAAGTCAATATTCTCATCTTCCCAAAGAACTTTGGAAGTAACTGCTGGAGCTGTAATCATTTGTTTTTTCTTTTGCTTATGTAGAATCGTATACTGTGGATAGATCATGGAAACCTTGTGGCATGCTGCGAATCGGGAATAATTGGACAAGACTTAGAACGAGCTCTGCAAGCACAAGGTTACACAACTGGACACGAACCTGACTCCTACGAATTTTCAAGGTAAGTTTGAGAAGAATCTAGACAGTTGTACTATGTATCTATGATTTTTGGCCTATTTATAATATGATTCTTATCAAAATTTTCAGTTTGGGTGGTTGGGTTGCTACGCGTGCATCTGGTATGAAAAAGAACACATATGGGAACATAGAGGAGTTATTGGTGTCTGTAAGATTTGTAACGCCAACTGGAGTTCTAGAAAAAAAAACTCAGGTGCCGAGAATGTCTTGCGGGCCAGATTTCAACCACATTGTTTTGGGTTCTGAAGGTACACAATAAATGAGAATTTTTGTAAGCAGTTTTAAAAATATTTACTTTTGAAAACTGACATGGGATTTTATTCCAGGAACTCTTGGTGTCATTACTGAAGCCACAATAAAAATACGTCCTCTCCCCCCAAGCAAAAAGTATGGCTCTATAGTGTTCCCTGATTTTGAGTCTGGCGTCAAATGCTTAAGAGAGGTTGCAAGACAGGTAGGGACATTTATTACTTAAAAAACATGTACCTATATAGAGTATTTATTTGTAGATTTGAACATGCAGTAATTGGCTTGTTTTTTGCTTATTTCCTTTTATAGAGACTTCAACCATCTTCAATTCGTCTTATGGACAATGAGCAGTTCAAATTTGGACAAACTCTCCGCCCACCTCCAGGATATCTAGGATTAATAATTGATGGCCTCAAACGAATGTACATAACAAAAATAAAGGGCTTTAATGTTGATACAATGTGTGTAGCCACACTTGTATTTGAAGGTAGTAAATTAATCTGATAAATGGCGATAAACATTATCTGTGCAAACAGTAATTAAAATGCTGGCCTTACTTTCTACTCACAGGTCAGAAAAAAGACATAGAACACCATGAAAAGAAAATATATGCAATTGCAGCAAACTTTAATGGCATTCCAGCTGGAGAAAAAAATGGAGAGCGGGGATACATGCTCACCTTTGTGATAGCCTACATCCGAGTGAGTTTGAGTTCTTCTTCGTTAAGTTTTAATTAAGGAGGGATAGATTTTAAGAAAGAAAACCACTTTTGTAAATTCTACAGGATTTGGCACTTGAGTTCAATGTTGTCGCAGAATCATTTGAGACCTCCGTTCCATGGGACAGAACAATAACATTGTGCAAAAATGTCAAGCATAGAATAGGAGAAGAATGCAAAAGTAAGAGGAAGTGGTACTCAAGAATGGTACTCAAGAATTTGTAACTATAAATAAATTAAGAAGCTACAATAATATCTTTTGATTTTTCTTTCAGCTTTGGGTATTGATCATTACTTCATCTCTTGCCGTGTCACTCAAACATATGATGTGGGCAGCTGTGTGTATTTTTACTTTGGATTTAACTGGACAAGTCTACCAGAAACATCTGATCCCCTCTCAGTTTATGAAAGGCTGGAAGAGATGGCAAGAGATGAGATTCTGGCATCAGGAGGCTCACTATCTCACCACCATGGTGTAGGCAAGCTACGAGCAAAGTGGTTTTGTGGCCAGGTGTCTCCACTAGGAGTTCAGCTTTACAGTGCAACAAAGAAGCAGCTTGATCCCAAAAATATTTTTGCCTGTGGGAATCTTGTTCACATACCTAGCTCTTCACTTTAAATGAATCGCTATTCAATCTCTATCAAATAGAAAAAAAAGTTACCTATAAAAGTTGTTGAAAGTACCATAGATATTTCTAGAACAACATTCAATGTTATATATAATATTTAGAAAGCCAAGAAACTTTAATTGTCACAGCAACTTTTCCTTTTTTAAAGGTGACACATGTCAGTGATACATGTAATAAGCATCACACTGGTCACCTTTTCCTAGTCTTTGAAATGCCCTGAAGTATAACCAATTTGCTAGCTTTTTTCATCTCTTAAATTGCTTTTTTCATGAAACCCACCTTAGTTATGAAAATTGCACTGAATCGATTGTGTTAGTACATAGTTTGTATTGTTATTTTGTCTTAATTTTTATTTGTAATACATTCTCTGACACTTAATTTTGGAGATTTGCCAACATTTAAGACTGAAGGCCCCACAGCTCAATGAAGGTAATTGACAGAAACAATTAGGAAATACCTACCTATGAGACTCTGTATTAACTTGTCTCTAAATGCAATTTATAAATTTAGTAAAAATGCTCAAACCAAATAGTTTTGAAGTGGTGGGATGAAAAAGTAAAGTTAGACACAAAAGTATATTTCCTTCCCAACAGGGAATAAAGATTTCCCGTTTTCTAGAAAGGTCATTTTTTTTGACAGTTTTATAACGATTAGTAGTCTGGCTTTGATAAAGAGTATCTATTCCTTATGCTAGAGTACTCTGCTTATCAAAGGAAATTTTGATTCTTGTCATTTTAGTGTATGTACTGTATCATTGAATTAATTGTGTAGCACTGGTTTTTGCTTTGTGATCAATCCCAACAGTCTGAATAAATCAATTAAGGATTGACATTTAGATATATTTCCTGTTTTGATTGTTTTTTCCTGTTCCATTTGAGCGTTGCTTTATACACGACAGCCAAGCAACACTTTTCACTTCATTGCTTTTCAAATAAGTACAATACAAGATAAATATGGGCAGCAAGGCAGCATGACTAGTATAAATTACCTGTAGTACTCCTTCCTTTATCACAGAAGAAAATGGTTCATCACGCGGTCTTTTCAGGTATTTTCCAGTTGAAGAGATCACTTAGAACAACCACTGCATCAAATAAAAAACAAAATTATGGCTAAAATTGAAAAAGCTAATAGGGATTCATAGAAAAATATATGACATTAAACAAACTTACAATGCTCCAGCCCATCATTTTCTGCCAGCAGATGAAGTGAAGCAGCAAGAAACTGATGACATTCTCTGTAGCATCCCTCTACTTTATCTAGCTTGTTTGAAGGTATCTTGGACAAATCTGTTCTCCATAGTGCATGAAGATTTTCAGCTATGACCACAAGCTGTGACAGAATTATTTGAAGATTAGATAGATTATTGTTTAATGAATGTGGGCAGCATTAATTAATCTATATGAAAATGATACACATAATACCTGATACAGAGCATTCTTTATAGGATCTGATTGACGTGCATTTAGACATTGTCTTGATGCAGTGACCAAAAATCTATTATGGACTGGAAATGAAAAAGTTTCACAAGACAAATTAACTCATTGTTTCAAATTATAATTGTTATTCTAAAAGCATAGCCGAGCCAGCCATACCTTGAATGATAGAATTCATATCCTTAGTGTTTTTAACATCCTCTTCAAATTTTAACCAGAGTGTATTGAGGACATGTCCAGCAAGAAAACTGAATGAGCCCCTGATTGCATGAAGTAGCCAGTACCGCAAGTATAGTAGGCGCTGTGAGACACTTCCATCTCTTGATTTCTCCAAGTCTGAAAATATGTTATTTTAGTTTCACAATTCTAAACAGTCATCAAAAATTTCAAGATGATTAATAATATCAAAAATGCTTCCAGTACCTGATATATCAAGGTCCTCCAAAAGCCAAAGACCCCATCTCATTTTCAAAAGTAGACGAAGTATAAAATTATAAACATTTTGGCTGACATCACCAACAATGGCACACAAAGGCCATTCCATCTAAAATTTTATTAAGCTCATTAATTTTCTAAAATTTTAAGACATCATGGCTGACATTTCTCAAAGTTTTCACTTACCTGATAGTGTATTGATAGAGCATCAATACATTCCAAACTATTCATTTCTGTTGGATCTTTGTCACCTGTCATAACGAGCAGGGTAAACTGATCTGAATCCATGCAATCTTGGAGCAAGACGCTTAGTGTATGAGAATTCATCCACATTAAGTCTTTTCGGTGTAATATCTTTCAACAAAAGCATGGAAAAAGTTCAGTTTGAGGAGGTTATTAACAATATTCTAACAAAGAAAAGAAAACTCAACAAGCACTTCATTACCAGTTTAAATATGTGAGATAAAAATGGTTGAAGCCTGTAGGCAGCTTGTAACAAAAATACGCTCTGTGCAGTATGCAAATGATGGAGCAGTTGACGTTCGCGAATCAATATGTCAGCTGCTAATGCACCAGCAATCCCTTCCCAATCAGCTGAGAGACACAAGACAGCTCTCTCAACACAACACTCCACTGAGATATATTCTGATACATTGTGAGACACCGACAACAGCCTGCAATAAAATAAGTTCAAATAAGAATGATAGTAATAGTAGATGGTAAAAGAGGAATTAAATATCAGCTTTTTAAATGGGCAAGGATAAGTTGCCCTGTTTAATGGCATGGATGGATCTCAGTTGCATTTGTATACTTTTTAAAAAGAAGTCTCTCTGGGTTCTCTTGACGTGATTTGGATGTTGATGCTCCATTGGCAAGGGAGAGAAAGAATTGGAATTCTGACTTAAGATGGGGGTCATCTATACGGTGTAGATGGTCTATAACAGACTTCATATCAACTGATAAATTTTGCTGGGTTGCTTTTAGACTTGTCTCCAAATTCTCATGAGATGCTACCTGCCAAAATTCATCAAGTATTATTACAAAGCTGATAAAACCATTAAAACAGATTAGATTATATAATGTACCTTAGACACATACTTTAGAACAAGGAAGATTATCCAATTTCTTCCACCAGACATCTGTACTGTTCCCTCCTTTTTCAACATTCAGAACAGTATGTTGAGCTTGTGAGGGTTCCAAGTCAGAAACAAGATTCTGGAGAAATAAACTTTCTAGACTACCTGAAAAATTCATTTAAAAAAATGATGGTGGATTGATTTACAATTTGTTTTTAATAAGCACATCAATGTAAAATACATGAACAATTACACTTACATCTATTGGACGTTTTCTTGCGAAGTTCTGGTAATCGATCCAGTTCACACAATACATGAAGAGGCTGAGCGGCTTTCAACAAGCAGCTAGCAAGAACTTGTAAGGCTTGAGGAGACTCTACTCCAAAAGTTGCCAATTCTTTCTCCCAATCTCTCATTTCAAATGAGGCTCCCAAGGTTGAGTTGCTTTTTACTTTCCTAGAGCACAAAAAATCTATTGATCTAGAGATTTAACATTTCAAATAAGCAGCTAGATATCTCGTCTGCTTACCCAACTTACCTTATTATAAAAAATTCATCACAAGTGTCATAAAGATGGCCGCCAGATAGCCATTGGTCTATAATTTTAATGTAAACTTGGAATGTTTGGACAAATATCCTAAAGTTTGTACCAGTGTTACCATCTCCATTCCGTAAAGAGGATAACAAAACTGACAAAAGACTGGAAAGATATTAAGTCAGTTATCAATGTCCTTTGTTAAACCTTGTTAGAAATCTTTCCACGTTACACATCAGGGTTCATTACTTACTGAGTGGCACAAAGCCAGTTTGGATATTGCTTCCAGTCTAGTACTGATGATTTGTGTAGCTTGTGTAAGGAAGCAATAGTTGAGAGGGACGGACCAAGCTCTTTTCGTAATGTCAAAAGAGTCATAGTGGCACCTACAGGTCAAAAGCAAACATTTTAAAAATTGTTACAGGCAGTTTTTTCAGGGAAAAGTGCAATAAAGTATTTGATTAGATCCACAGCATCTCAGTTGTACTCACTCTGTTGATGGGCTTTCCGTTCTAATTCTGATAAAGCTTTTAATACAGGCCTTAACTCACGCTCTATGGCACATCTATATGCCTCATATGTTTTACAAGGCTTTTTTTCATTATTTCTATTTAGATCAAAACAAAATGATTGAAGTTCTTCAAGCATATCAGCACAGGCACAAACAGAAGTCATATAAGATGCAAATACATCCTGGGTAAGGCTGGGTGCAGTTACATGTGGACGCACACAAGACCGAACTTTCAAACCGTCATCACTGATGACTTGCATGAAAATTGCAGTATCACATGGAGCTGATAGCAACCAAATTATTTCAAGAGCAATTTTATGTTCACTGAAAGTTGAAGTTTTTATTCCCTCCTTCATGTTAGGATCACTAAAAAAACAAAACCATTTTCAGACAATATCTACAAAACAACAACCAATATCTAGATCAGCTTAGTTAAAAGTATATGACCTTACCACAGTTTTGAAGTTTGTGAAAATGGATGTTTACTGATAATATTTTCATTAAAATGTGCTTTTGACCACCATTCATGCTGGATGTTACTTTTTAACCAGGATTCTGCAGCTAAAATGTTTTGAGCATTTACAACATTGATAGGTTTGGTTGGAGGGGGATCCTTTAACTTTAACAAACTTAAAACATCCTTCGATTGAGGCAAATCTCTTTTCTCTGGTAACTTAGGTTGAATAACTATTGACTCTCTTTCCAGTACAACCATACAATCTACTTCATCCTCCTAATAACAGAAACAAAGTATGTATTATAGTAGAAAGTTGTAAAATAATTTGCTTTACAAATTGTGAAAACACAAACGGCCTCTCACATCACTTGGGTTATCTCCCCAGTCTCGCTGAAAGTCATCCAATCCTTCTTTTAAGTATGCAGCCCAGTCAAACTCTTCATCAGGTTCTTCGACAGTAAATAAACTAGAAGAATCTAGATCCCTTTCTAGAGTCCTCATAACATTCGTGGGGTTTTCTCCTAAATTAAGAAGTAGAGATAGGAGGCACCACTGGATATCCACCTGTCATTCAGGTAATAGTAAAAACAGGTGATAATTAGCATCTCCCCAAAAAAGGTTAAACAAAAGTGCTGTGACAATAAACAAACTTGTGCTTACAGTACTGTGATCTTTGAAGTCAGAACTTGCGAGAAATTCTTTGATGAGTGAATCAAGTTCTTGTCCCCTATCAGAGAGACCGTGTACATGAAATTTTGTGACCATTCCTTCAACAGAGCGTCGTACAGCATGTCCATCAACAGACAAATATCGATGGTGGATGACATTGGACATTAGGAAACGTTCGCACGCTTTAAAGTTCTCCTGTGTCTCCTGTAATAAAGATGAATACGAAAATATAGAAATAATGTTTTGACACTTTGATTGACAAGTTTCCCCTTAAAGTGTGCTCTACTGCAATCCAAAGGAGTATAACAACTAGTATCAGACGTAAACAGTGGCACCACTAAACTCCTGTAATAAAGCAAATTTAATTGAATGCTTATAAATAAATTTGCTGTCCTATGACTACCGATTTTCTAGATCTACCGATTATTATTTTTTTAGATCAAAACAACTATTGTTTTGACAGCAACTTGTGTTACTGTCATCATGGAATAGTTAATGGTTTGCGACCTATTTTACATCACGGAAGAGAGCTTCACTATACTAACTTCAAAGCCCGTCAAGTTCTTTATTAAAGCTTGCACATCCTCCTGAATAATATCTTTAAGCTTGAAAGCCATTTTACTGAGGTTATGGTCAAACTAAAAATAAAAACATGTTGTTGTGATCGCGCCGCGCGCGCTCTGTGCGGTACAGACTGCCAGCAAAACAAAACAAAAAGTCGCACATGTGCGTAATCTTTTCTGTTTGCTTAAAAAAAACGAGAAAACGTTTCAAAGAAGAAATTACAATTTTATTCTGCAATATTCAAGTAATATTTTGATTTTCAAAGAATTACACACTAATATCAGTATGGTAAGAACGATAAGAGGGGAATGTGGTTTTGTCACCTTGTCGATCGACTCACCGTCTTCCGGAACCACCGTGAGAGCCCGCTTCTTCACCCTGCCCTCAAAGTAGTCGTGTTTCTGTTTTCTTCCGTTCTATGGCCTGCTCTCGTCAGAACAGAGAAGGTGTTTGCAGATGTTTGGTGTCGCTCGCCTATTATGGAGTATGGAATGCTACGGAAAGCTCCCACCGGGCGTCATGCCCTATCTTCAGAAGTAGTGCCTAGCAGTGTGAGTGATATGCAGGAAACAATGACGCTGATTGCGCTAGTGCTATTTATTCGGATCAATTATACGCCCCATTGGGGCATATCGGGTGTATTCTGTGATGACCCCCACCCCTTCACTTTGACCGATGCATTGCCAAATAAAATTTAAGTTAGGTAGACGGAGTCTTGTTGATGCAGGTACAGTGAAAAAGTAATGCCTCAACCTGGAATCTGTTCTAGTCCCTGGAGAGGCTGCTGCTCTTCGGACCTCGGCCCCGGCCCCCTTTGGGCGGCCCATACCATCCTAACGCCGTCCAGAAGAAAGAGATTGAAGTCCAGGAGCGCCTTCACCGAGTTCACCGTCTTCTCCACATCCGACAAGCACAGGTGCGTTAAGTTTTGTATTTTCTACCACGCTGATACACCCTCCCCCTCCCAACCCCCCATTTTGTTTTTGTTTTCTTGAGATTTCGACTCGATTTCCCCATGATTTTTAATCATTTCCTTGTACTGCAGAAGGACGTCCAGCTGATGGAGCGCCGTCTCCAGACGACCCGGACTTCGCTGGTCAACATGCAGCGGGACGCCGGTGTGGAGGGCACCAGGGCGCTGGAGCAGTTCAAGTCCCCCGCGGCCCCCGTGCTGCCCGCCTTCCTCGAGCGCCGCCGCCAGGAGCTGCTGATGGCCAAGCGCGCCGCGGGCGCCGCGCTCGCCAACGTGGACACGGTGAACGTGGTGACGGTGAGGACGGCGTCCAGTCGCGAGGTTTCCACGACGTCCATCACCATGACGTCGCGCCCCCGGCCGTCGACGTCGTCGTCGTCGTCCTCGCGGCACTCGTCCCGTTCGAGCGCGGCAGCAGCACTGCCACTCCTCTCTCGGCGCCAGAGCCGCGCCCTGGCAGACTCCAAGGTGAGGGTGCGGGTCATGAGCGCCACGAGCAGCAGCGGCAAGTCCTCCGGCTCGTCCTCGAGGAAACAGTCGAGCAGGCGGCTGCCGCCGCCCCCCGACGTGTCGCCGCTCTTCCTCTGGAACACCCGGGACGAGGTGTCCAAGGCCACCCTGATGGCCAACTCCCCGGAGCCCACGACGCCGTACTACGACAGCGAGAGCACGTTCCCCCACGAGATGACCCTGTTGCCGATGACGTCCAACGAGTCGCCCCTGGACACGCTGCCGCAACCGTTGTCGTTACGGCTTCCTAACCGCGCGCGGCTAGCAGGCTGTCGCTCTCCGGCGTCCCCTTCTCGATGAAGACCTTGCTTGTTGTAATTTTTCTCGGTTGCCATGTTCATAGCTATTTATTTTCCTCGTGCCACAGGCGCATATTAATTGTTTTGTTTATGATAGTTTATGTATAT